AAAAAAAAAAAATTCAAACTAAATTAGAAGGCTTACCTAAGTGAGCGCTTTTTTCGTGCACTGTTTTTGTACCATATTGCGCAAATGTTTTTTCGCAATATTTACATTTGTATCTAAAATGAAGAAAAAAAATAAAATAAATAAATAGCAAAAGAAAAAATGAAAACAATCCCTTTTTAAATCAGTCATTTAATTGGTTTTTTCTTTATTCCAACAAATTTTTTTTTTTTTGTTTATCCAACCCAAAGTTTGTTAAGTAGATTTTACGCTTTGTCAACAGAATGAATGTATACAACGGAGCTCTGATAGTTTGAAAAGAATTTGGAAAAAAGATTTTTTTTTTTACTTAAATAAGAGGAAGCAAATGATATAAGTGATAATAACAGTGATAAGAATGATATATTAATATTAATTAATAATATTATTAACTTACGGTCTTTCACCAGTGTGTGTTCTTTCATGGACTTGTAAAGTTGCTTTTTGAGCAAATCTTTTATCACAAAAATGGCAGTTGAATGGTTTTTCACCGGTATGGCATCGTTTATGCGATTCCAGTATTGATAGGTATGGGAAACCCTGAAAAACAGATGTCAGCCACAAATTTCACATTAAGAAGATCTTAATTTTTTTATCAACGATAAATGCTAGATTTTCTTGTTTTAAAACGACTACTTTTAGCTAGACTCGTTTCAATAATAGTCCGCCAAACATGTGGCCAAAACAGTTTCATAAAATTCCTTATTCCTGCAGTGTTAAGTATAAACCAAATTGATTACCTTTCCACATATATCACATATATGACGTTTTTCCACTTGTGAGTGACCATGCGACGACCCACGACTACTTTCCGGAGAACCACCATGATCCACAGCCAGGGATCCGATCAGTCCCATACAGTTGGTACGATCCATCAAATTATTGCCCACAACGGCTGTTTGCATTACATCGTCGTCGCACAGATCTTCATCGTGTATTATAACATCATCCTATAAATAGACTATGCTAAGCTAAAAATAACAACTAAACATCTTCAGGGTTGTTCAAAATTCATCTGTTACATCCTGATAACCTGGACGGTAAATATAAGTGCATTCAAAGAGTGTAAATTCCACCAAAGCAAAATATAAACTAAACAATGGAGCGATCATCTGATTATAAAACTCAAGCAGTGGAACGAAGTCACTACTAAACATTAAAAAAATGATAAGTGTATAGCTGTAAACTTTGTTTCAGTATTACTGCTGAAAAAGAAAAATAAGCAAAAATTAGTATTCTTTAATGAATTAGTAAGGATGCATGCTTTTGACTTCAAAAAAAAAAAAAGAATTAATAATTTAACGCCACTAACAACAAATAAAGTGTTTTGCATCTTCTCTGCTCACATCCTTATTGAAGCTCATAAAACAAAATCCCTGATAGATTATTATGGTACTTTTGCAGATCGACGGGTGTACAACTGATACGGAATTGCTTAGATCTCTTACTGGCTATGAGTCGCTGATGGGTTGAGCAACCGAATCCTAACCTATGCTGCTTAACAAGCTTAATATAATATGCTGCTGATTACTTTCAAGATTATGAAAGAAATGTGATGAAGAAGGTGATAGCATTGTTCTTCGACTTGTGAGCCCAGTAGCCTAACACAGAATTTTTGAGCAAATAAAGTAATATTTTCATCTGTGATCAATGAACTAGCAAGCATAAAAAAAAGAGTTATTTATACAACCAGTTAACCTTTTATATGAAACTTTGGCTTACCAAAAAATGCTGAAAAAAATT